TCAGTGGTGTGCTGGTGCACAGCTGCAGGGGCTAGCTGTGGGCATGTTCATGGAGGTGGAGGCAGGTGATGGGATTCATGGTCAGCAATGTCCAAGTGAGTGACTAAAGAGTCTAGCTGCCAGTACACAAAGAGGTGTAGGCCAGTGATAGGATTTGAGGCTGTCTTCAAGCACTAGAGCAGCTCTGGGGTGTTGATGTGTCCTCATGAAGCTGTAGGGAATAGCCACAGTTGTACACAGAGCACTGGGGACCTGGGATGGCATTATGCACACATGCAGCCACAGAAGCTGTGGCTAGCCACTGGTGTGAATCCCAGGGCCCAGGAAATCCATGGTAGCACAGGCTGGAGTGTCTCCACCAGGGAGTGGGGGACACAGAAAGGGACTCAGACAGGTGAAGCCTGCAAATGTAAAAACCTTGGAGTTCCTTATTGGCAACGGAGTACTACTCAGCAATAAAAAAGACAAAATGATGCCTTTTGTGACAATGTGAATGAATCTTGAGGGCATTATGCTAAGTGTAATAAGTCAGACAGAGAAAGACAAATGCTGTGTGATCTCATTTATGTGGGGAATAAAAATAAAAGCCAAGCACATAGATACAGAGAACAGATTTCTGGTTGTCAGAGGTAGGGGGTAGAGGGCAGGCAAAATGGGTGAAGGCAGTCAAAGGTACAAACTTTCAGTTATGAAATAAGTAAGTCATGGGGATATAATGTACCACACAGTGACTATACTTAATAATGCTGTATTACATATTTGAAGGTTGCTAAGAGTAAATCATAAACGGTCTCATCACAACAACAAAAAATTATAATTCTGTATTGTGATGAATGTTAACTAGACTTGTTGTGGTGATAATTTCATAATGTAAAAAGACATTGAATCATTATATTGTACACCTGAAACTAATGGAATATTGTATGTCAATTACACCTCAATTAAACATTTGCTTTAAACTTTTTAAAATGTCGCCTCTGATTGGAGGAACCAGATGGCAACCATGCAAATACTGCTGGTTTGCAAGGATTTTGCCAATTGTCTCAGCAAATGTAATAGACGTAGATTAACTTGGAGGGAAGACACCTGCTTCTACCTCCTGCCTAGTCCTTCCCAAGCTACGTAGCCTTGAGTGAATCACTTTTCTCTCTTAGGAACCCAGTTTTCTGCTGTTTGTAGTGAATGGAGCTAGATATGGTTTGTGTCTTCCAGTTCAAACAGTCCACAAACCTACAAAATCCCTCCAAGGACACTCTAAGTATATTCTCTATTCAGTCCAATATGGTTCCAGGGTGAGGTGCAGCCAAGACAAATACTGGATTAAGGCACCACCAACAGAGCCAGTTTTCAGGGCTTCAAAATCTGCTGAAGATGGCCATGCAAGGGCACCAGAGTAAGCAAGGAGAAAACAGCCAGTGTCATGTGACTGCTGAACGAAACTTGTTCATTTCATTCATTTATTTGATAAATAACTATTGAACACCTACTGTATGGCAGACGCTTGTTAGTCACTGAAAGCACAATGGTGAATGTGAACCCCCCTGAGATGCCCCATGAAATGCAAGAAATAATGAGGGAGGCAAACAATAATATTGTTATAATATTGTTCATGGGATTGGAAGATATGATGTCCTGAATAGAGATAAGAGTCAGTGACATCTTGTGCGTGGTTATTCTTGTGACCCTTGTTTTACTTCTAGGTTGATGTGTCCTGATGTATATGCCTTACATTTGGGTGGACTCCTCTTGGTTTCTGTTATTAATGTTGGCACTTGCCCCTTGTGTGAAGTACCTCAAATTCCCAGCCAGGTGATTACAAGAGTTGACTAAATATCTAGGCTTTCTCTTCACTTCACTTGAAAAGGACATGAAATTACTGGAATTAAGGTTCAAGGAGTGAACATCAAGAGATGAGCCCTTCTAATCTGTGGTGATCGTAGGTATGTTTTGAAGGCTACACTAGTCCAGCTGCAGAATCATAGTGAAGCCATTCAGAGAACAAATTGAAAAGTATCCCATATCTGTTTATCTTTTTGACATAGGAATTACCAGTTTCAAAAAAAAAGAAAAATCTTATAGGGGACAGCCCAGTGGTGTTTCAGTTAAGTTCACACACTCCACTTCAGAGGCCCAGGTTCACCCGTTGGGATCCCGGGTGTGGACCTACATACCGCTTATCAAGCCACACTGTGATAGGCGTCCCATGTATAAAATAGAGGAAGATGGGCATGGATGTTAGCTCAGGGCCAATCTTCCTCAGCAAAAAGAGGAGGATTGGCAGCAGATGTTTGCTCAGGGCTAATCACTCTCAAAAAAAAAAAGTATAAAGAAACCACTTGAAAACCATTTTATATTAAGGTTCTTTTGGAGGAGGTAGGTCTTTTGGCAAACTCCTCAATTTCTTCTATAACTATGAGTTTATTCTAGTTTATATCTCTTTTTGAACCAATTATTTCATTGATTTTTGGAGATGAGGAGTTGTCCACTTCCTTTAGGTGCTCAAAAAGCCATGGTTTAAGGGAGTTTTACTCTGAATACAGGTAGAAAATGGGGTAAATAAATTCTATCAACTGAACCCTGTCTAATCAGAAAATCAGGCATAAGTGGGTTTCTGTTAAAATGGAGGTAGAAGAAGAGACAAGCATGAGATGAGGAGGGGCAGACAAAAGGCAGTGGCCACATGAACCATGCCAGCAGTCAGAGAGATCAGTAATCCCTTTGGAACAAGAATCTGAATCATGAAAGAACCACGCATTTGAGAAACTTCTGAGAATAAAGGTGCAGCCTTCACCAACATGTCAAAGGGAGGTCTGAGTAATATTATTTGGGCAATAAAAAGAGTAAATCAACTGATAAATGAATAAACAAAATGTGGTATAACCATGCAGTGGAATATTATTCAGTCGCAAAAAGGAAATAAGTACTGATACAACAGGGATGAACCTTGAAAACACCATGCGAAGTGAAGGAAACCACATAGAAAAGACCACATATGATGATTTCATTTATATGAAATGTCCAGAATGAGCAAGTGTAGAGAAACAGAAAGTGAATTAGTAGTTGCCAGGGTCTGGGAAGGATGGGAGTGCTATAGATAAGGTGTACAAGTTTTCTGATTGAGGTGATGAAAATGTTCCAAAATTGATGATGGTGATGGTTACATTTGTAGTGTTGTATGGTGAATATATTAAAAACCATTGAATTGAACATTTTAAATGGGTGAATTTTATGGCATGTGCATTCTATCTCAAGAGAGCTGTTACCCCCCCCCCAATAACTACCAAAGAAAAAGAAAAAGATAATCATAAGCGTGGCCCCAGAAGACTGGAAGAAAGGGGGGAATCCAGGCAGCATGTGTTTTACTTCTTAAAAGGTTTGTTTATGTTATTACAGTCTCTTTCTCATTCCCAGTGCCTACTTGTGCTTCTCTCTTTTTCTTTTGTCAGACTTTACAGAAATGTGTCTATTTTAGTGATTCTTTGTAAAGAAATATTTCTTGATTTTATTCACCAAAATCATTTTTTGTGTTTCATTTGCCTCTGTTTTTATGTTTGCTAATTACTTCCTTCTACATTCTTTTGTTTTATCTTGATCTGTGGCCAGCTTCTTGAGTTTAAGCCTAGTTTATGTTTGATCTCTTGGTTCCTTAATCAATAAAGAAAATACATTTCCATTTGAGAGCCACTTTGATTCTTTCCCATAGATTTTCATAAGTAGTATTCGCACTGCTGTTTGCTCTTAAATCATCTGATGCCTGTAATTTGATATATTTCCTTATAAAGATTTTTAGTATGGTGTGAAACTTTTTAATTTCCAAGTTAATAATTTGTTAGCTGGCTATTTTATGGCTAAGTTCTAACTTAATTGCACTGTGGTTAAAAGAATGCTACCAATGATCTCTACTTTGGATAATATATTGTTTCAGTTTTTGGAGTGTGAGGCTAGGGCTAGTACATAGATAAATGTTGTAAATATTCAGTGAGCATTTGAGAAGATTATGTTTTCTATGTTGTCAACAGAAATATATTCTGTGGAGATATGTATATTTATATATCAGAATGAATTGAGACATACGTCTCTTTCTATTTTTCCATTGGGAGTCAGTATGGAAATTAGAAAGAATTTCTTTGAAGCTTGTGTCTCTTGATCAGGCAACTCAGACAGAAATATTCTCAGCTACCTTGTGAAATGTTCCTTGTTACATAAGCACACTTGGGAAGGAGGCAAACAATCTTTCACACATTGCTGCCAACACCATTATCTCACACTATGATCAATTCTGTGACTGCACAAAGGGTATAGAATTATGTGTGTGAGAAGGAAAGAAGGAAGAGGAGAGAGATTCAAGTTTTTATTCTGTTGGTCCAATCTTCTATTTATATATATACATAGAAGGTTTTCTAGTATAACTGTCATTTCTCAAGCTCTTATTGTGTCTCTAATAAGCTTTTATTTTATATATATATTTTGATCCGATGTGACTCAATATAAAATTCCATCACTATTAAGTCCCCTTGGTGAATTGTATTTTTTACTTATAGTCAAAATATCGTAATTTATGAGCTTTGGGTTCAAAATATACAGAAGGAACAGAGAGCAATGAACGTTCCATTTCCTAACTGCATCCTTGCATTTCCTAAAAGCACACTGACCTCCCTGTTGAGGATTTACTTCTTTATGATTGAATACAGCCAGGTGAGGAAGTCATGGGACCCACCATTTTCTAGCCAAAGGTGAGCATCTGACCCAAGGGAGGCTAGACAAATCTTCTTTCTTGCAACCTGAATCTTGAGGAAAAGGACACAAAGACTGAAAATATTTCATTCCATCTAGTAATGGAAACTTGACCAGACTGTTATTGCTATAAAAATTATTTGAGGGTGTCAGTGAACATAAATTAGAGATTTAGAGGCATGGCCCTTACAGCAAGAGTGGTGACCCCAGGTGAGATTTGACCCGCCCCAGCTTCCCCACCACCACCACCTCAATGTCGTCTCTCAGCTGCTACTGATCCCTGAGTCCCAAGGGACATAGCTGCTCCTTGCGTGCCAAGGCTCACTATCACTTGTTCTTAGAAAAACTGGCAGTCACAATATCCACTGCCTTGCTCCCATGCTTCCTAAAATATATGCACAAAAACAAATCGATCTGATATAAATGTCTTTCCCATACTCAGGGCTCTTCAGTCTTATAATTGATCATCTTGTTATACACCATTTATTATATTTGATTTTGTCCCTGGAAGTAATCTTTCCTATAATTCTATTTTTCTGATATTACATATTGTCTCTCCTTCTGTTAGCAGTGGCCTGACATCTTCATCAATTGCATTAGTTGTCAAATCATTTTATGTATTTGTTTTAGATACATCTCATTTAAACGACATATGGCTGGATTTGTGTGTTTTGTTACTCTTCTTTCTCTTTCAGTTGTAAAATTTTTGCCATTTATTGAAAGTGATGTATAGAGGGAAACACAACAATTCAAATGTCTGCATACTTCTCATTGGAATCCATGAAAAACAGAAGACAATGGAATGATAGACTCAAAGTGAAAAACAGAAGAAATACCAACAGAAATTCTACATCTAGTGAAAATATGCTTTGGGAATAATGGGAAATGAAGACACACTGTGATGAAGGAAAAGCAAGAGAATTTGTTGCTAGCATACCTCCTTTAAAAGAAATATGAAAGAAAGTTCTTGAGTCTGAAGAGAAATAATACTAGAGGAAACTTGGAACTTCAGGAATGAAGAAAAATGCAACATAAGTGATAAATATCTGAGTAAATATAACAGACTCTTTCTCTCCTCCTAAGTACTTTAAAACATGTATGATTGTTGAAAGCAAATAACATAGCAATGTCCAGTGGAGATTAAAATGTATATGGTGGTACAGTATGTAAAGGAGAAAGCTAAAGACATCAATGTTTTTCCAGAGCTCCTACAGTTTTCTTGAGGTGGCAAAATACTATCTCCAAGCAGACTGTAAGAATTTATATTCATCTTTAAGACCAGAGAGTAGACCAAGGCACCATTGACTGGCAAAGAATCTGACAGGGACAGAGCATCAAATACTGTCATGCACCATGTAATGACATTTTGGTCAGCAATAGACTGCATATGATTAGTGCCGCATAACCAGGTGTGTAGTAGGCTATAACAGCTAGCTTTGTGTTTGCTCTATGATGTTCACACAATGATGAAATTTCCTAATGACATATTTCTCAGAACATATTCTCATCATTAAGCCACACATGACCCTATTTCACTATCACCATCTGAGAGCAGGAGAAGTTAACTGTTCCAAGATGAAAAGGAAAAGACCTAGGGCAAGTGAGATGGGTTGTTGCTGATCCCTCTGAAATTTGACCACATCTTAAATGACCATGGAGAAACTGTGAGTAAAAACAAGAGAGAGAGAGAGATTTAAAACTGTTTTGACTTACTGTAATACAAAGAACTATATTAATAATGACACTTTATTAGAAAATTAAAAGTCTGGGGAAAATGCTTAACTTGACAAGACACTAAGGCAATTGATATAAAACACGATTGTTTCAGGTAAGATTACTCTATAAATGAATGAACTCAAAGAAAGTTTCTTACGCAAAATCTCATAATCAACAAGGATGATCAGTGTTTCTCAGATAAGCTGCATATCAGAATCAGCAGGGAAACTTGTTAACAATATGAATCTTGAGCCACAATCCAGTCAAATTGGTCAGGATTCCCAGAATTGGGGTTGGGGAATCTGTATTTTATCAAGGTCCCCAGAGTTTTCTTTGGTAGTCTCTCTGCCCCAGTCAGTGAATGGGCATTTGGGGACCACTGCTGCAGCCTGCAAGCAACTCCAGTGAGATTTTTATAAGGATAAAATCTATTTCACATGGTTTTTATCAGTATTAAGTGAGAACTGTAAAGCATATCATAAATGATACTATCGTTATCCAAATAGCCAAGTAATGACAACCCAGCTAATGACTAAAAAGATTCCTATTCAATCTGAAAATTATTCAAGACTCATGGCTGACTTTCAATGTGTGATGGGTTGAAAATCAAGGCTGTGCAAGAGTATTCAAGAGGAGATCAGACAAAGAAACGGAAGCAACAAATGTAAGTTAAATCAGTAGCTGGAAGACTCCTGAGGTTTGAGAATATATTTATTAATATGATAAAAATTGAGGATGGTAATAAACTGGGAAGAAAGAGCCACTTGTGAAGCATGATAATGAGAATAGTGCCCAGGCACTTTCACATCGAAGGGTCCAAACATTTTATATATGTTGACTCATTTTGCCTCACACCAATCATTAAAAATAGATACAATTATTGTAACCATTTCACATGTAAGAAAACATGCCACTGAGGAGTTAAGCAACTTACTCAAGGTCACTTGGATAGGAAATGTCAGAGCCGAGAGAAAAAATGTGATAACTGAAGGATTAAGGTCATGGAGCAATCTGTACCCAATGATACATAGGATTACAGAATTAGAGAATGCTCTTTAAAAGAAGAAATATGAATAAGGGAAATCATTTTCCTTCTTTTTTTTCTTTTACTTTCTTTTGCTTTCAAAATAAAGGCAGTACTAAGCAAAGAAACTGAGGTAGGACTACAAAGCACAATCAGAAGACATTAAGCAAAAGGCCTGGACGGTAAAATGAGTCTTTAGGGAGGGAGGGCAAGAGACAGATCTGGGTCTGTGGTGAAAGTTTTGAACCTGAAGCTCCAAGATTTGGAGGATAATAGCAAGGAAAAGAGGAAAGTAGGAGCCTGAGAAGGAATTAAATAGGAAAATTTAGAGGCAACAAGTCACCAGGAAGTGATTCATCAGGGTATGATGGTTCATCAGGATCTAAATCTCATTGGATCTTGTAAACTAGTGAGTCAAGCTGGAGCCTGATTGGGTTCAATCCTGTGCATCTAACTGAATAAAACATGGTGACAAAGTTCCTGGCAATGTAAGAGAAGAGTCCAAGGGAAGCTGTGAGAAGGCAAGATAATGGCCCCCAAGGCTGACCAGACCCTAAACCTGGAACCTGGTAATATGTTACCTCACAGGGTGGCAAAAGGAAATTTGAAGATGTGATTAAGGTAAGGAACCTTGAGATGATGAGATTCTCCTGGATTATCTGGGTGGGCCCAATCTAATGATATAAATCCTTAAAAGCAGAGAATGTCTCCTGGCTCTGATCTGAGGAAGATGTGACTATAGAAGAAAGGTCAGAAAGACGCAACGATGCTGCCTTTGAATAAGAGGAAGGGGCCACTCGCCAAGGAATCTGAGAGGCCTCCAGGAGCTGGCAAAGGCAAGAAAACAGATTCTCTCCTAGAACCTCCAAAAGAGAAAGCAGCCTTGCCAGCATCTTGATTTTAGCCCAGTGGGACTCATTTTGGTGTTTTGACCACAGGAACTGTAGAATGATAAATTTCTAATGGGAAGCCACTTAGTTTGCAGTAATTCGTTACAGCAGCAATAGATAACTAATACAGAGGTTTAACAGCATTTTTCTGTAGGAAGCTTCCACAACAGAGGGGTCAAAGTGACACTGAGAGCCATAATTAGCTCTTGAGCCCTGCAAACCATCCCATAAGTCAGGATACACAGCCTCTCTGGCAGAAGAGAAAGTATACGAGTCCGCGCGGCTGCAAGGGGAGGAAGCAGCTGGTGCTTTAGACACTTGCTGACAAGCAGACCTAAGGAAGTTTGTGTTCAAGGCTGAAGCACTGTAGGAGGAGAGCTATAACAATGCTGACAGTAAAAGTCAGCCACATCTTCAGCCTGGAGGTTGCTGACAGTGAAAGTGAAAATCTGTCACAGGTCCATTGCCACTGAGTCAGTCAGGGACCCCAGGTGCCTGGGTGGATGCCCAGGAGGTGAGCAGTTTCCAAGCCTTTCCTTGTTTCTGCTGGTACCAGGCTAATTAGTTTCTAATGCTCTGGCTGGACTTGCACTTGACGGTGAATCTCTCTCCTGTAGAAACAGCCAGGAACCCTGAAGACTGGACCATCACAATGTCCAGACAGGCAGCTAAAATCGAGAATGAACAGTGACCATATATACTGGCATTATGTCAAGAAATTTTAAAACATCTTTTACAGTGTTACATGCGAGAACAGACCCTATTAAGTATAATAGGGTCTGTTTTTGAAATAATGCTTATTTTGCTCTGCAACTTAAATCATTTTCTAATCAACAAAAATATTAATCTGGATAGACTGAGGTACTTTTAAATCTCTCACCTGAGACCCAGAGCAGCAAAAACATGAGGAGCTTGGCCTGTGATATCATCTTTCTGCCATTGCACTGCCTGATGCAACTAAGTTCACGTCGCAGAGGGAAAGAGCACATTTGTAAAGCTCTGGGCAGCCAGCCAGGGCCCAGAGGGGACCATGCGAACAAATAGTGATTATGGAAGTAAATCATAGCAGTGGTGTGGAAGTATGTAATTTAAAGAAAGAGCCAAAATAACATCAGAAAATGTGACTGTTTGACTATGAAAGACATATAAATTTAGAAACTGCAGTTTCCAATAAATATTCAGAAACCAGTTGAAATATAAAATATTTTCCAAAATCAATAGCATTCTCTTACACAAGTTACAACCAATACAAGGCAATGTAACAAAGAACATTTATGTTAAACACACACACACACATAAGTGTGTGTGTATGTCTGTGTGTGTCCTTAAAACCATTCAAGCTCTGCAAAGATAGATAGTGGGAAATTTTGGATTTTCTGTAAGAAAATATATTTTATTACTAAAGCTGCTTTGTCCTGAAGGCATCTATGTACACTGTAAACCCATGAGCTTGGGTTCCAGGGCCATGTAAAGACCAGAGAGACAGAAGTGGAGGCCCAGAGACAGCCCAGGTGAGAAGTTCTGAGGGAGATCAATCATACGTTAGGCTGGAGCCCCTAAGAACTCCACTCTCAGGAAAAGAGCAAACTAAATCTACACTGAACTTTAGCCTCTCCTCAACTGCTGGAAACTGAACTGCAAGGAGAACTGCTTAGGTTTGTTGCAGAACAGGAAAGGAGAAAGGAAGAGGGAAAAAAAAATCCTTCCCTAGGGAGTTGTGATTGTAGATCAGTCCACACATGGGTTCACATCCCAAGCATGCATGGCCTAAATGAGTCTGGAACTTTCCAACTTTGAACTTGATTTACCCATCCAACTAGTAGAGGCCACAAGCACCTGGAATAAAAAAACATAAAACTTCTCTTCAGGAGGACACATCCATTCTACAATCTCAGGAGACCTCACAAATTATTTTTGAAAGGTCAACATGAGCAAGATGTCGGAGGTTTCTTGAAATCTAAGAAAACGAGACTAGCAGAATGTGAACAACATGAGTAACAACAGAATCACAGAAAGCAGATAAGCAAGTCCACCTAGAATTTCAGATTTTGAAATTAGCACAAATATGTTTTCTTTAATGAATTACAAACACGGACATATCTAGCGGGAAGAGGACCCTATAAGTGGTGATATTACAGTCTTTAAAAGGAACCACACAAAAATCCAGAAGAGCCAACACAGTACTGAAGAAGAACAAAGTCAAAGGACTGACACTACCTGACTTCACTCCATGTGGTATGCCATTGCCAGTAATTCTTACCCTTCATCAGGACCTGAAATCTGTAGGGAAAAAATGTTATATTTCAATGGAAAATAGGCATATCTATAGTATGCCTTTTTGAGTTATCAGAGTCTACTCCTGTTTATTTTCTTTGAGCTATTTTGCAACTCTTTATAAATTGTAGGTAACTGATAGATATGTGAATTCTGTCCTATCTAGTAGAGATTTAATTGACTTTCTTATCTCCTCTTGGAAAAACTAGTTAGTCTCCATTTGAAATTAATTCCTTTACTCCATATGCATCCATGCTGTTTTGACTTTTCCTTTGAACCAGTTATAACATCTCCCTAGTTCCCTCAAATCATGTAAAATAAATTATTTAACACATCTGCATTATTATTATATATCCATGAGAGTCACAATTTTACTGTTTTCTGAAAATTATCTTTTAAGAAATCTATTGACCTTCCTACATTTTCTCTGTCCTTCATATTTTCATTTCCCTCTTTACTCTGCTTAAATTCCATGATCCTTCTTTATAATGACTTCTTTATGCAGAAAAACTCTCTTGGTCTTCCATAATTTCATTTCCTACAGCAATATGCCACATACCTGTCCCCTCCACATACCTGTCCCCACATCTCAATATGGCTGGAGAAAAACAGACAATTCTTACTTATCTCACTTTAGATTCATGATGACTAACTTCCTGAGGGCCCTCAATCCTGCACCACAACCATATTTCATTTCCCTAGTTTATTCAGACTTCCTTCTTTTCCTTTACTTCTTTCTTCAAGTTCTAACACCTTCCCCCCATCCTAACTTTAAGACAATTACCCCATTTCCTGCTTCCTACCTAAAGAGATGCAATGAGAAGAAAAATTCCACAGCTCATTCCATAAGTTCTTCTGATCCATTGCTATCTATATCACCACACTCTGCCTTCCTTCCTGTTACTGTAGATGAGCAGACAGCCCTCCCAACTGAGGCAACTTCCTCTGATCCCATACCTCTTGCCTACTCAACAGCAATGTTTGGCACTTCTCCTTCTTTCCTGAATTATCACTATTCTCTCTTTAGCATCATTCCCATCAGCATGTAAACATCTTTGTTAAAAACTCTCTTGATCTCACATCTTTCTCCAGTTATGGTCTGGTTCATCTTCTGCTTTACTGTAAAGCTCACTGAAAGAGTTGTATATAGTCACCACTTCCAAACCTTCTATTCCCATTCCTTCTTGAGCTTCTTCCGTTCGAGATCTTACCCACACCATCTCATTGAAACCTCTATGCTCAAGGTCACCAGTATCTTCCATATTAAGAAATTCTGTGCCCACATCCCAGTCTGCCCTTCACCAGACCCATCAGCAGCATTTAATATGTTGACAACACCCTCCACCTAGATACACCTTTTTCTCTGAACTCCAGTACATCACGTTATCTTGCTTCTCTTCCATCCTGCTGTTCCTTCTCAGACTCCTTGCCTAGTTCTTGCTCATATCTCCTGCCTCAGAGCTCAGTCCTTGGACCTGTAATCAAGTCAACACTTATTCCATTGTAACCAGTTATAACATTTTAATCTCCAGTCCAGTTCTCTCCCCTGAGCTCTAGACTCATATATCCAATGGTCTACTCTACAACCGCACTTGGAGGTTTTATACATTTCTAAAATTTAAAATGCCCAAAAAGAAATTCCTGCTCTCCCACAACAAATCTACTCTTGTCACATTTATCTCTATCTAAATAAATGGCAACTCCACCCTTGTGTTACTCAGAGAAAAACAATGTAGTCCCCAGACTTCTCTCTCACACTCCTTGTCAATATGAATAGAGTATTGTTATCTCTATCTTCAAAATATAACACTTCTCACCTCCTCTACTGCTACTGCCATAGACAAAAGCTGTCATCATCCCCAGCCTGGACGATAGCAATGGGCCCCTAACAGACAGATACTATAAAAGTACATATCAAATCATGCCCTGTTCTATTCAAAACTATCACACTTACCAGATCACTGAAAATAAAACCCAAATCAGAGAAGTTTACAAAGTCTTATATAATGTGGTCTCCTCATTATTTCTTTGATCTTATTTCCACTACTTTCCCCTTTCACACTCCATTTTAGCAACACTGGCTTCCCTCTATTTCTCTAACACACTGCTCACATTTCTGCCCCAGAAATCTGCCATTTCCTCTAACTAAAACTCTATTGCCTGGAGATAATTCTATGACATATTACCTCACCACATTAAGACTTTGATTGTCATTCCTTAACAGGCCCACCTTCTCCCATGACCATCTATAGCAGATGGATTGCAAAAATGGATCCTCTTTTCTTAAGGGGGGGTCCACCATGCCTCCTTATATCCATGCTTTTAGCAACATAACTTTGTATTTCCTCTTATCAAGAGGTAGGGGCTATTTACACTCTCTTTCAATAGCATCAATTGCACTGATCATTAAAATGCATCAAATGGGACATTGTGACCGTACTGAGTCTAGGCGTGAAGATGCCTTATGTGGCTTGACTTTCTCTCTTGAGACCCTGCCAACTGACATAGGAAGTTGAGACTAGTCTGCCGGTTGAAGAAGGACATGAGGTCCTCACCCAGACAGTCCCAGCTGATGGTCAACCAACTACAGAAATGTGAAAGAGATGAAAGAAACATGAGCCTTTCTATATTAATTAGCATCCAGTTGGCCTGTCAGCTGACTTTAAACACAGAAGCAGGCCAGCCAAGATCAATCAAGTCTGGCCCGTATTAACAGAACTACTCAGCTAACCCATAAACATAACAGGAATAAAAAAGCTACCATTTTAAGCCACTGTATTTTGTGAGTAGTTTATTACATGACAATAACTAACTACTACACCATCTAGTCTTAAATTTCCACTCACTCTTACCCCTGCATGCTTTTATACCTTCCTTGCTTTAGTTTTACTAATAGCACCTACAAAAGGATAGAATAAATATTTACTAATGTTCTTGTTTATTTTCCGGCTCGGCCATCTAGAATGAAAGCAGATATTATTGCACTTGTCACATAGTAAGCACTCAAAACAAACATCTTGAATGAATTAAAGACATGAATTCCTCAATGACAATAATTTAAACGTATTTCTGATTATTATTAGAATCTGTTATGCAGGTGAGAGTATTCAGACTTCACTGATCAGGTTTGCTGGGATCTTTCTTGAAGCTAAATTTCATTAACCCCTGTATTTCAGAAGGAGGTGAAGAAAAAATACTAAAATGACTGACTTTCTCCATTTTTACACTGAAATTGGCATGTTAATTAAATATTGTCCAAGGGACTCAAGGTATAGCACACGTAGAACCATGATTTTCTGCAGTCACAAAGTTAGACTTCAGTGCCCATTGGGGTGAATTTGAAGAGAAAGTTGAAAAATGATGAGAAAAGAGTGAACATTTCAAGAGTCACAGGGTTAAAGAATTAGAGAATTGCCCTTGTAAGGATGAGTACAATGGAGGAAATGGAGAAAAGATAAAAGGGTTGTACAAAAGGAGATAGAATAGGAAAGCAACTTCAGTGACAGTGACCAGAAAGGCTTGGTTGGAAACTGTGTCCAAGGGAAGAAAGAAAGCAAGAGAGGGATACTACCTTCTTTTTGGAAGGTTTTGGACAGGAGAGGTCAAGTGTTTATTACTGGGATGGTCCAGAGTTAGAAGGGTGATTGCAGACAAAGAAAGGAGATCAGGAGAATTAGGAATTGATATAGAAATGTTCCAGAGTCAAGGAGACACAAAGAAGTGAGAAATGATCCATCAGGGTATAAAATTCACTGAACTTTTCTCCAGAGAGTAGAGACAAGCCTTACTGGCTGAATCACGCCATCAGTCCATAGGAAACGCGCAGGTCCTGTGACACAAAACCTTCTGATCTCTAAGAGATCTTTACAGCATTTTTGTTTTCAATAAAACAGGATCCAGAAAGAGCAAACACCCTTAATTTTATCCTGGGCCCTACAAATGCTTCCAGAAATAAGTCAGGAGATACGACCTCTCAGGTAGATAGAGGAATATGTATGTTCACAGCTGTGTGGAGAAGAAGCAGCTGGTGCAGAAAAGACTCACTGACCCATGGTTTGGGGAGGAGGTTTGTGATCGAGGCTGAAGCACTGTGGGAGGATTACCATAATACTGCTCACAGCAATAAACTGCCGCATCTTCAGCTTGGAAGTTGCTGATGGTGAGAGTGAAATCTGTCCCAGATCCACTGCCACTGAATCGGTCAGGGATCCCAGATGGTCTGGTAGATGCTGAGTAGATGAGGGGCTTAGGAGCCTGTCCTGGTTTTTGCTGGTACCAGGCTAAGTAGTGGTAAACACTCTGACTGGCCGTGCACTTCATGTCGACCCTCTCTCCTAGAGACACTGCCAAGGAGTCTGGAGACTGGGTCATCATGATGTCCCCCAAGGTACCTGCAAACACAAATGGATAATGATGATACACACACACTTTATCATAGACACATTGAAATATGTAATTTAAAATGTGCTTTCTAATGATATTACATGTCAGCACATATTTGGGTCTATTTTGGAAATAGCCAGCATTTCCCACTATATCTTAAAATTAATTTTTTAACTCTAAAAAGGTATTACTCCAAAAGTACTTAGGCACTTTTAAATTTCTCACCTGAGACCCCGAGCAATAAGGACATAAGGACCTGTGTCTCCCACATCATCTTGCCTGCCTGCTTGCCTGATGCAGCTCAGCTCACACTGCAAAGGCCCCTTTTATAAAACCTGAGCAGCTGCTCTGCACCTGCAGAGGCCTATGCAAAGCACTCATGAGTAAAGAAGCAAATTGCATGTGCAGTGGGCTGTGAAAGTATCTAATGCAAATCCAGAGCTAAAAATAACATCACCAAAAGTGTACTTGTATGATGAGAAGACACAGAAGTCAACTTAGAAGCCCTAAAACTACAAACTGTTAGGTGATCTAATGAAGAGTTTCTATTTTAAATTTAAAAATGTTTTTAAATGGGTTCAGTTTCCAGAAATGATAGACTAGACTCCTCATATCAACATCCTGGTGAAATAAAAAAACATGCTGAAAAAATACTACAAAGGAAAAAGAAAGGGAGCCAAGGAAGGAGGGGAAAGGGAAGGAAGGAAGGGAAGACGGGAGGAGAAAAGGAGGAAGAAAGGAAGGAAATAAAGAAGGGGCAAAGGGAGGGAGCAACAAATGGAGAGAAGGAGGGAGAGAAGAAGGGATAAAAAGAAAATGGGGAACTTTTGGCTCAATTTTTTAAAAAATCTATGATGGGCAAATGAGCTCTGAAGCAATTTTTACCTTAAAGGCTTATAAGGACACCACAAACACATGAGTGTGGGTTTGGGGGCCATGCAAGGCCCAGAGGGATAGAAAACAGGAACACAATTGACTCATTTGGAAACACATGAGGGCCCTAATTTGAGCTAGGGGCCAGAGGGGCTCTAATATCAAATGAAGGGTCAACAAAGAGAAACTGGAAACTATCCTTCCCATAACTGCTAGCAACTGAAAAGAGGGCTCTGCATTCATTGAAGAAATAGAGAGAGAAAAAATAAAAACAATATTTCTTTAGGAAGTTATGGCTGCTGATCAACAATTGGGAGGATTTTTACTCCATGTGTGGATGGCCTATGTGGGTCTGAGATTCCCCAATCGTGGAATTGCATTAAAATATTCCCACTGGTACATCCCCCAAATGAAAGTTGTTCTGGAGAAGGGCACATCATTCCAAAGTCCTCAGGAAACCTCATAAGTAATTTTTTAAGGATCAGCAATATCAAGAAATCAAAGATTCCTAGCATCCAAGAAATTAAGGCACATTGAATAGGAATGACAAACAATAAAAACAAAGAAAAAAGAGTTCTGCCGAGACTTCAGCTTTTGGAATTATGAAATTATGAGAGATTATTTAAAGAAATAAATTGCAAATTTGATGTTGTGTGCAAGGTACAGGAGACGTAAAATGAAAGATCACTGTTGATTTGAAGAGGAATCAAACAAATTTCTAGAAATTAGAAATAGAATCACCACAACTTTAAAAATCAGTTCTCCTAACAAAAATACCACAAACGAGGTGGCTTATAAAGAACAGAAGTATACATCTCCCAGTTCTAAAGCCTGGTAATCTCAAGATCCAGCAGATTCAGTGTCTGATGAAAGCCCACTTTCCAGTACATAAACGGTCCTCTTCTTGCTGTGTTTTCACATCATGGAAGGAGTGAAGGGGTTCTCTAGGGTCTCTTTTGTAAGAGCACTAATCTCATTCATGAGGGCTTCACCTTCATTACCTAATCACCTTGCAATGGCCCCAGTTCCTAAGACCATTGCATTGGGGATAAGGAATTAACATATGAATTGTGGGGGCACAAGCATTCAGTCTTTAGCATGAATAGAAGATGACTTCTACTTCCAAGCAATACGAGGTAACAAGGATGAGATTTACATTCCTGCACGTGTGTGTATTTGAGTGTGAGTGTATGTGTATGTATCTTTAAAAAAAGTGGTTTTCAAGACACTGGACATCACACAATGAAGGACATTCTGAGAGACAGGAGGCAAATGAGCTGAGTCCTGTGAGTGTACCAGTGCGTTGCCTTGAGAGAGTTTTCAGGCTGAAACACAAGGAGGAGGAAACAGGCAGAGCCCCATGGACTTTCTGGTTGAGGAAACAAAGCTAAATGTCCAGAAAGACTAAAGTAGCTAAAGTTTTCAGGACAAAATAACAGAATAAAGAGTTGCAGTGATCAAGAAAACTCCCTATATCTGTTGATAGTTCATCTAGAACATTCAATGACATCTGTTTGGTGCATGGCTATAAGGAAGCTATCTGAGGCTGAGCAAAGAACATTCCAAGGAAATTGGAGGTAACAGGATCTGACACTCACACAGGGCCAGGAATAGTACCTGGTTCCAGTAGCCAGATTTGAAAACCTCCCAATTCACAGGAGATTGAGCAAAGTATTCAGAAGGACTTTGACTGTGTAGTGGGGAAAAATTAGCTCTAAACTAAATACTGCTCTAGTATCAACAAACAAACCTTAAATGCAAGACCAAAAAGAATCAAACTATTTCTTATAATTTGGCTATATCCTAGAGCAAAGCTTAAGAACATTTATAGGAATACAATGAGTTCCAGCACCAAAGTAAAATTTGCTAGGCCTTGTATCCAATGAAAGGTTAGCAGTGATGCAAAAAAGTAGGACTATGACTCATCATGAGGAGAATAATTAATCTAAACCAACCCAGAACAGACGCAAATATTAGAATTATCAGGCAAGAACATTAAAAGTTATTATAAGTGTATTACATATGTTCAAAAGTTAAGCAGAGACACAGAAGATATTAAGAAAGAGAGTTAGACTGAACTACTAGAGATGAAAACCACAGTGCATCTGATATAAAAATGTGTATGAAATTAATCAGAGATGAAAAAAGATGATATTGTAAAACTGGGAGGAATTAGTCAGAGATAACAGAATAAATTGGTAAACATGAAGACATTAGAATAAAAACTATCCAATATGAAACAAAAGAAAAAGAATCCAAAAATTTGTCAAGTTCATCAGTGAGCTATAGGACAGCCTCAAGTAAATAATGTACATTTAACTGCAGTCTTGAAGGAGAAGGAGGGTACAATACAGAAAATTATTTGAAGAAATAATGGTTAAAAATATTCCAAATTCTATGACAGTTATAAATGAACAGATCCAGGAAATTCAATAAGCTGCAAACACAAGAAATGTGAAGAAAAATGTACCAAACCTTATCATCATAATCAAATTGCTCAAAGCCAATGATAAAAAGAATATCTTGAAAGCACTAAGAGAAAAAGACATTATACACAGAGGAAAAAAGATAAGGATGTCGGCAGATTTCTCTTTGGTAACAATGCAAACCAGAAGACAGTGGAACAACATCTTGAAAGCACCGAGAGTAGCTGTCAATCAAAAATTCTATACCTAGAAAAATGATATTTCAAAAGCAAATGTAGAATAAAAATTTTGAAAACATACCAAATCTGAAAGAATATGTCACTACTAGTTCTACACTACAAGATATACTGAAAGCAATCCTCCAGACAAAAGGAAAATGATAGCAGATGAAAATATGAATAGAACTGGGAAAGGTAATCAAATGAGTAAATTTATAAGATTTTCAAATTATTATTATTTAACTCTCTTTAGAAGTTAGTTGACTATGTATTCAAAATTTGTAGCAGCGTATTGTGGGATTTATAACACGTATAAAAGTAAAATGTATGATAACAATAGCAAAAAGTTCAGGGGGGATAGAAATTGAATATATTACAGAAATATCCCAGCACTAGAAAGGAAGTGATGGTAGAGTATGGTAAGTTAAAATTATACTACAAATCCCAAATCAACCACTAAATAAACATGCAAAAAAAACTACACATTATAAGCCAACAATGAAACAAAAAGGAGGCATAAAAAATACTCAATTAATCAAAAAGTAAACAAGAGAAAAAGAGGAAGAAAGAATAGATGGGACAAAAAGCAAGATACAAACAGATTAAAATTTAAAAGATTAACCATTCTAACACTAGTCTAAAAAATGGAGTTATTATTTTAATATCAGATGAAGTTGATTTCACAACAAAAAATATTATCAGGGAAAAGGAAGATCATTTTGTAGTGATAAAGGGGTCAGTTATTCAAGAGGACATAACAATATTAAACATTTATGTGGGTACATTCACCATCTTGATTGCAGAGATTAAGCCACAGGTATATACATATAGCTTCTGAAGTCGGGCACTTTAAAAACACACAACTCCTTGTATGTTAATTTTACCTCAAAAAGTTATTTTTTCACTCACTCACTATCAAGCCAAAGAACACAAAAGACGGAAAAAAGAATCACTCTCTTTATTCTGCCAGAAAAATAATCTTATATCAATTAGCACTTCTAGAATTTCATGGACAATTGAGGAACTATTCAGTACTTAACCCCATTGATCTTCCTCTTGTCTTATTTGCTATTATAACATGTTTTACTTCCATGTATATTTTAACCATGCAAAATATTGTTCTTGTTTTATACAGCTGATAAACATCATACTTATGCCTATATTTTACTTCACATCTTACTGCATCTCTACATTAGTTATTCACTGCTGTGTAACAAATTGCCCCAAATTTCAGCAACATGAATATTAAACATTATTCTCTCATACCATTTCTGTGAGTCATGAATTTGAAGATGGCTTCCCTGGCTGGTTCTGACTCCAGCTTGCTGTCAAGATGTCAGCCAGAGCTTCATTCAGCAAATGACTTGACTGGTAGCTTTGGAGGCAACCCATTCACATGCTGGCAAGTTAGTGCTGCCCATTGGCAAGAGACCTCAGTTTCTTGTCAATCTGTCTTTGAAGCTACTTGCCTGTTCTCACAAGGTGGCATCTGGCTTCCTCTACAACAAATTATCCAAAAGAGAGTAGTAAGAAGTCACAGTCTCTTTAATGTCCTAGCTTCTCAGGTCACACACTGTTATTTCTTCAATGTTGTATTGGTTACATAGGTTATATTTATTTAATGTGCCTGGGAGGATATTAATATCAGGAGAAAGGAATACTAGGAGACAGGAAACATTGGGAGACTTCCCAGTGGCTGGCTATCATAATATCTGACTTTCCAACTAGATTCCACTTGCCTAAAATATCGCCTGTAACCTTCTTTTCAGCATGGGTCTAT